GTTGCACGTGAGCGAATGCATGCGCGCCTATTACGGAGCGCGTCGGAAATGAGGAGAAAACTATTGAGAAACGCAGCCCGCTGGCTCGGTGGTAACAGATGTGGCCCTCGAGTTCACCTCTGTGACCCACCGTCTCCTTGACACTCTAATTTTTCCAACCTTTTACACCCGCTCTCTACCGCTCCCCTGCTAGCCCTTCTTTGTTTCTGGACCCCCTCCGCCTCTCCCTGCCCCCCTCCACCCCCAACGACACACCACAGCCACCGCGCTTTTCCCCCTCTGTCATTGGCTGGTTGGACTGTAAGGGGTCACATGTGACAGCACTAAGAGTCGGCGAGTCACAGAGCAGCACTACGGAGATAATTGCCATGTGATAAAGAGGTGATTGCCTGCTAGCACCAGGGGAGAGTAATGCCATCAGGTTGCAATAAAAAAGCAGATGTCTGACACTAACTGAATGCTGCTGGAGCCCAGGCAACTTTCTGTGCTCCTTTTCATCTGGGCACACTCTTTTTTTTTTTTTTTGTCCCCTTGTTTCGGTCTGCCTTTTGAAAGGCAGCTAGAGAAGGTTGTGTCTGTGATGATGAAGACTCCTCAGCTTTGCTCATTCTCTACCAGAGACGTTTTCTATCTGCTCGGGGAGTGCATAAATAAATAGGGTGTGGAGGGGGGAGTGCAAAGGGTTGGGTGGGGGAAGGGGGGGGTCTTATGAATATAATGTCTTTGAATTTCAGAGAGAGGAGAAATAAGCATATGAAAAGTATAACGGAGTGACTGCGTTTCCCTCGGTCGGCATAGCTGCTCTTTGATTATTTATTTCTTTTTCTTGAAGTCAGATTGTGTTAACCGCTGCATTCCAACATAATTACATGCTTGAGTTTCCAATTTGCTGGATTTTATTTTGGAACAAAGCAACAATTAATGAGTGTTTTTTTTTTTTTTTTTTTTTTTTTTCCATTAAAATTCGACAGGGGGCATTACGGGCCACATTATCCAAGACATTTGGAGCTGGGAGAGAGGATGGTATTCTGGTCACGCTACTATTTACTCCCACTGCGATTATTACTGCATGCAGACTAAGACTAAAAAGGCTGCTGGCTGACTAGGGAAAGCGGTAGGCTTTACTTGAATACCCCCCTGGGCATTTATATAAGTTTGACCAAAATTGTAGTTTATTTTACCAAAAAAAAAAAAAAAAAAAAAAATAACAAGAAGAGGAATTTTAATGATATCTTTGCAGAAGCTGTTCTCTTTTTTTGTGGCATTTTCATTTGGATTTGAAAAACGGATTTCACAAATTAAAGCTCTGTATTGAAGAACCTGTACTTTACTTAACGTGCAGAGCTCCTCCAGACTAGCAGCAATTGGCAAACACCTGGGAAACTGCTGAGCTCATCATATTAACTACTTCTCAGTCCAACGCTCCTAATAATAGTTGTAAACATTGTTATGACGGAGGCAAATTTCACGGAGTCGAATTGTGAAGTCAAATTTCTTTCAGGTTATGTCTGATATATACAGCATTTTCATAATGATTCGAGCTAACCTGTTTACTTGATTATGTTAGCTAGGTAATGGCACGATATGTGCCTGGAAAGTACATAATACACCTCTTAAAAAATCTCTATTTTTTTTAATGTGGATTTACTCACTTCAAGTTTAAAAGATCTCAGTAATTTGAAGCCAAAGATGATCAAAGTTTCCACAATCACTAGTAACACTCCAGGTTAGCTTTGTGCACAGTCTTGTTTTCTTAAGCTGAGTAGCAACACAAAGGTTCACAAAATCCCCCATTGGCCAGACAAGGAAATGAGAGATTGAGAACTAATTTTGGATACAACTAACATCATTTGCTCTATTTATTTTTTCATCCAAGCATATAGGAGACCACCTTGAGCAGATATATTGCCACATCACCTACATCAAAAATCACAGGTGCCAGTCACAAAAATGGAGCTGTGGTTTTGCCATTTTGTACTAAGATCTGGTTCAAAACTATAATCTACAGGTGGGTTTGCACTGACTGTTTGTGCAATTTTCTATACTGAAAGCGAAATGCGGGTTGATTTTAATCATCGGGTGAATTTGTGCTTACTGCAACTGGTTAGTGTTTATGAGTTGGCAATCACCTCAGTGAGAAACACTGTGATGTTTTAATATCGCAAGATCTTGTTCCACCTCTCAACCTCTGTGTACCACAGTTTCAGGTTCATGGGTTTAGCATATGGGCACAAAATGGTATCTTTACAAATGTAAAGTGCAACAAAATCGTGACAAAATGGAAACGAGGACATAAAATGACTCAAATCATGAATCATCATTGGACCTTTCTGTTCACTTATTTGGTAGAGCATTATAATTTTTGTGATTTAACCATACATGTTTGAGTTTTAGTCCCTAAAATGTCCAACTTGTCTTTCTTTTTTTTTTTTAGAAAGGAATTATTCACATTTTTCACATTGATAAAATTATGCAAATGACCACAGCCATTAATAATTTTGAGGCATGTGGCTAACGGACGAGGCTCCAACATTGGGCTTTCTACAACAGGACAGCCACTTTAAGGTTACCTGACAGGGGCATTCAGGGAAAATAATTGGCTTTTCCGTCGCCAGGTCCACATGCAAATACGACCAGAGAGCCGTTCTGTACCTTTACTGCCATCATTAGCATCAGTGCAAGTGGCAGCGCAGTTTGATTTCTGCCCGCGCAAAGCGATCTCAGGCCATAGCCATCAGCAGCTCCCCTGACACGTACAAGCCATGCAGTATTAAACAGATGCAGAGACATGGGGCAAGAGGTTGGGCCTGCTGTGTTTGTATTCCTATACCACTCAAGTCCCGCATGCCTGATGGGCAGCTACACGGCCTGCAAAAGATTATTGATTCCCCAGATAAAACCACTGGTTCACAAGCTGCAAAAGCCATTGTACAGTGATGGATTTTTTATTTTTTTTCTAAATTAGGCATTCAGAGGGTGGTTTTTGCACCAGGAGAATTTAAGCAGAGTGCGGAAGCTCAAATAGTCTCGATCACTCTTCATGCATGTGGTGCGTGCGTGCGTGCGTGCGTGCGTGCGTGCGTGTGTGTCTTTGTTAGCGAGCGCGGTTCAAGGCAGCGGTGCATGTGAGCATGTCCTATGCATATGAATAAACACTCCTTGGGCTGCATTTGATGGAAAATGGTTTCGGCTCTCACTTCTCAGTTCATGCTAAGCAGAAATGCAGAGGGAGTGAAAGGCTATTGATTGTATCTCTTTGCGGGATTGTCCAGCAAGAGAAAATAGACATTTACTCACTGAAGGTGTTGTATTACTAACATGGTCTCGAATTGAGTCTAGAGCTACTCTTGGTTCAAAAATGTTATTCTAATGTGTCCATTTAATAGGAGGAGGACATGTGAGGGCGTTTTTAGGGAAATTACATTTTTTATGCATTAAACTCTGTGTGTGTTGAAGATTTCTTTGCCTAAGCCATCTAGTTTTTTTTTTTTTTTTAATGTTTCACATTAAGAACATACAGTGGTTTGCAAAAGTATTCATGGTACAACCTGAAGCTTTAGTATATTTTATTTTGACATTTTTAATCCAATGCAAAGCAGTCGATAATTGCGAAGAGGGAAAAATCATGCATGGTCTCCAAAGTACTTTCAAATAAAACACAAAAAAGCATTATCTTAATACTTTTCAGTTCCACAAGATTATATTTTGATTTCTGATGCAGCTCTACCTCTATGTTTAGGGTCAATGTCCTAATTAACCTCTGACCCTAGACCCAAGTCTTTTACAGCCTCCAGTAATATTGACTTGCCGTCTTATCAGCTGACATCAGTTCAGCTATCCCTGTTGAAACACTGCAGACTCACAGCATGATACTGTCACCACCATGCTACAAAGTGGGAATGCTTTACATATTAGGTAACTTCTAAAGACAATTGACGTTTCACATTTTTTTAGGGGTATAAAAGTAAAGAGGCCTGAATACATGTGGTCACAACACTGTTCAATTTTTTTTATTTTATTTAGAAAAGACTTTGAATACTGACTTTACTTTTCCATCTACTGTGCTTGTTTTCCAGGAAATGCTTTGAAATGTTAAGCTATGTAACGAAATGTAAAAATAAATAAATTAGGGTCCGACTATGCTTGCAAAACAAACTAATTTGAATTGTGTCAATATTAATTCCACTTACCAGAACAGTTTGGCCAGGATCTGATCTTTGACACATTCCTTGACAGCCCTTTGTGTAACAGGATATATATATGTATATATATATATTTTTTTTATGATTTGCTTGTGTTGAATCTTCAACCTCAAATCTTTACTCTTTATGCAAAATGTGTTTAGAGAAAAGCACTCTTGTTTGAGCACCATGTGCCAAATAAATTATAAAATGAGAGAAGATGTTAAGCGATGACTGAATGTCAAGCTCCAAGTGGTAATCATCACAAATCCATCAGAAAAAATTAAACATGAGCCCGAGGAAAGAAAAAAAAAAAAAACAGATGAGAGTGGGAGGCAACTGTGGCATTTCTATGCAGCCGAGCAAAGTATTGTGAAGTTTGACAATTATAAGGAAAAAAGGCATTGTAACTCTGCAAACTTTGCCTGTCCCCTGAGCACAGAGATAATGTGCACATGTCAATGCCTTGATTTGTATGAGCCCAACAGACAGCTATTAAATTGTTTCTGCAGCTGGTGACAGGCTTCCTGCTGCGAGGACGGGCACATTCACTAAACATAGGTTGACAGGCTTCTTTTTCTTCTCTTTCTTTTCTTCTGCTCTACTTTCTCTGCACTTCCATGCACTATCCATCCATCAACATCACCATAAATCCCTCCCTCTCGTCTGCCCTTGATATGTTTCACTCTTACTCCCCTTCTCCCATCTTCTCCCGATTCTTCGGCCACTTACTGCATTTTTCATCGCCGTCTTCCCCTCCATCACCACCTTCTCCCCCATCCTGTCCTCCACCCATCTCTCCGTGTCCGTCTTCTTTAGCTCATGCAGCAGCAGGCAGCCATCATGGCAGCAACCCATGGAGGTTATATCACGCCTAGCGTGGCCTTCCCTGCCACGCAGATCCACCAGATGGGGGCGCTCAACATCAACAGCCTCCCACCCACTCCCATGACCCCGGTGTCGGGTGAGTTTCATCAAACCCTGGGTGAGCACTCAGTTTCATTCCCTTTCTCTATGTGATGGTGTTTCTGTGCCACGGTAGCAAGCCAAAGCGTCTTTTAATAACGTCTGTGTTTATGTTGCCGTGCGGGGCGTTGATGTGTGTGTGTGTGCGCGCGTGCGTGCGTGTGTGTAACAAGCTAGATCTGCAGCATGGCCTAAAGAAAGAGTGCCTATTTACCGGTAATCCAAAATTATTCCTCTGGAGGGAAAGGGAAAGTGAGACGAGATTTGCATGTTTATGTTGTTTGTGAATGCTGAGATTTGGGGTTACAGTAGAAGCAGCAGAGTAAAGAACATCAATTACTAAATGTACAGATAAGGCGTTAATTTCCCGGTAGCATTTTGACCTTGTGCTTTGAAGCACTTGTGCATGGTTTGCATGCTGTTGGGTTTGTTTTCCATAACAAACAGTCTCCATGCACATACATTACAGTGGGGAGGAAAGGACTTTGAAACACCTACCCACTGCCGGAGATTTGCTTATTCAGCAGAGTTTCATTTTTCTTTAGAAAAAAAACAAAAAGAAAAACTTCAAGATTCTTCACTCACCAAAAGCATAAGCCTAAATAAATTATACAGTATCTGAGTCTTTGTTGTGCTCCACTCTCATACTTTGTCATCTCAGCAGTGTTCAGTTTCTACTGCAAAGTCTTTGGTAACTTTAAAGCTACTTGTCTGAGAGACACAGCCATCAGCAGCACAGAGAGATTTGTTTTAAATGCTCTTTAAAGTCATCGTAGGAATCCAGTTTATACAAAACCTGCGTCACTTTATCAAACTATTGTTGAGCTGTGTTTTTTTTTTTTTTAATAGGGGAAAAAAAATATTTGTGTTCTTTCTCAGCTATGTGCTTGTTGGGTCTACCCACACTCAACTCCCACCTTCAATAAGAATTTGAAGGGGGGAAAAAAATAAATAAAGCAGATGTGGACTCAATCTCATTGGAGGGGGATGAATATGCATTTTGTATTTTTTGTGATGCAAGAAACGGCTTCAAGAAATTTTAAAAACAAGAACTGGGTGCACAAAACTTTGATTTGTTGTTTTCTTCTGGTAGAATACAGGAAAAATACATACATACATACATACACGCATACATATATACATGAAATAATATGTAGGTAACCCTGACGCTGTCCACTCGAACCCAGAGTCTGTGTTTTTGTGACCATGTGTGCCTGCAGGTACAAAAATAGACGAAAACCATGGGTGGGATCATGAAGAGAAGAAGAAAAATAGCTAATTAAAATATTAACAACTATTAAATATTTTCAATATTGAAGATTTAGGGAGGTTTTTTTTTTTTGCCTGAGTCAAAAACAATGATGTGGTTTTCTGGATCATTATCATTAAGCCACTTCTGTCCAAGTTTTCAACCACCTTTATCACCTTGTCAAAAGGCTTAAGATGTTCAGAAAAACCTGGCAGCTACAGAAACTCAAACCTGCTGTGTACTGGAACCTGCTGGGAGATCACTATCAGTGTCCAGTTGCGTCCAGTTGCATCATTGTCTTTATCCTTTATCTTGTAAATGATAGAGATAAACCCTGGCTCCATAGTGGACACATTTAATCTCCACTGACACATACAGCTGGAGAGAAAACAAATACAGATTTGATGGCTAAAAATTGTATGTGTAAAGTGTAGTTTACTGAATGACATCTACTTTTATATTTGTGGGTGTGTATGTATATATTTTACTTTTTTTATATGCAGTAAAATACTTACACTTGCATGCACTTTTGCAAGGCAAGATTGAATCTGCAATTAATTTAAACATTTGCTCCCAATTATTACATTTAAAAATCATCAGCCAATTTAAAAATCACCCAATTATTAAATTTAAAAATACATCCTTCAAAATAAAAAAAAAGGACTGAGTGAGAGACGTCTCCATCTGAACACAAACAAAAAATATGTGCCTGAAGTGATACTGTGCCAGCGGACACACATGTTGTAGGCAGGCACAGTATCATTTGCAACACTAGGTGATGTATGTGGAAAGACGAGATATTTGTCAAATATTCACATTGATATTTTCAGCGCAAAGTGTACACTTTTGGGCAGGCATAATCAATCTAAGACAGTGATTAAAACCAGAGCTCAGTCTTGCTGAGAAGCTCTTATTTTTGATGGGTAAAAGCAATGACAGTTCTGCAATTCGGAGGAGCTTTGTATTCGGCATGCATACCTGTATTTTTGCAACACAATGGTGCTGATTGAAGATAGTGCAATCGCGCTGCAAGAAGCACAGTCGGTGTGTGTGCATGGGTTGTGTGAAAGGCTTTGTCCTCCAGTCAACTTGGATTGTTTGTGCAGCTCTCCAGCTGCAGTCTATAGAAAATTGAGTCTGCCTCAAACCAAAAGAAATCTTGTTGATTTTGCTTTTGTCGTCTGTAAAAGTTCAACTTAAGAAAAGTGACACATTCAAGTTTTCAGATCTCTTGATATTTCCATGAGGAAAATTAAGAAAAATAAACAATATCCAATTATTATGAATACAATCAAGAATTAAAATTGTCAAATTAATACCAGTTTACCTGTTATTGACTAAGCAAAGACACTCAAAACAAATGCAGTGAGTAAAAGACAAGAACTAGATTACAGCGCCTATAAAAGCATCCCCCCCCGCCCCCTTTGCTGCTTTTGCAAATCAATCATATCATCAAAATGTGGCTTTATGATTATCCAACAAATTTACATAAAAAATTAAATAGAACAAGCTACTTTTGGATGTCTTACAGTGGACACCTTGTCCACCTTAAGAATAATTAAACCTGACCTGTTGGATAATCTGCTGTTCATTTTCAAACATAGCTTCTTGTCTGGGGACCAAAGAACTTTCCCACAAACCTCTTGGCGAACGTAAGTCCAGCCTAAATGAGTTTTCTTCAACTGTTGCTTTTTCACTGCCACTCTCCCATTAAAGTTTTGAGTGGTAATGAACCCAGGCAACAGTAGTTGTATGCAGAGTTTCTCCCGTTTGTCACTCCTTCCTTGTGGCCTCACCTAGCAGGCTTTTTCCTGCACAGTCACTCAGTTTGTGTAAATGACCTGATATAGAGATATTTACACATGGACCACATTCCTTTAATTTCTTGGTGATGAATTAAACTGAACTCCAGGGGATGTTCAGCATGTCAGACATAGTTTTGTATCCATCCCCTGACTACTGGGACTGTGTGTTTTTATTTAATTGACATTATTTTGTAGAAATCTGTTTCCACTTTGACATTCAAGAAGGCTTTTGCCCATTTTTTTATTTTTTTATTTTTTATTTTTTTTTGTCAAACAAGCCAAATTTAGTTGGATCACGATTGATTTGTACACACAATGAAAAGAATAATAAAATTGAAGGAAGTTGATACTTTTTACAGGCGCTGTTTCTGTCTCTCTAGGTTTAAGAGATGTTTGGATTTCTGGATAAAAGTGATTCAGTCTGCTGCCAAATGGTACTTGTAGATTGACAGGTGGACCTTGGTGCCCCTGAAACAAGTTCTGAATGTCTGCAGGTACATTTGTTGGATCTCTTTTAAAACTGGGTTAGATAAGCAGGCAATGTCACTTAAAAATGAAGAGGCTGTGAGCAAATACTGTTTTCACATTCAAATATATATATATATTTTTATTCATTCTGGTGGATAATGACAGGTTCACATTTAATGCCAATCAACACTTAGAGCTATGGTTAGCTATGAATAATTTCAAAGCTTTCTGAATTTCTAGATTGGCCAAATAAGAGCAAATTTAATTAAACATTTTCTCCTTTTAAGGAGCAACCTTAACGAGAGCTTTTTTGGTATTTGGATAAACATCTAACCAAACAGGAGTAAGATGCATTTTGAATAGACCTACTATGTTACGAGGGCATTTTAAAGTGAGTTAGAGAACAGCAGGTGAAGAAGGTTAAAGTCCACACCGTAGAAAAGCCGACCTCACTGCAACAGTTTCGCCATGTGAGCTGGATATTTCTGTTTATGTACTTTTCATCGGGTTACCTTTTCTCATTGAATGCAAGTTATTCCTTTGTAAAAGGATTCCTTTGAATCCTTTGTAAAAAAAAAAAAAAAAAAACATAGATGGTAATCATGAAGTTTCAAGGACAGTCATAAATATTCAATTTGTTGTTTCCCTTTGCCTCATTCATTCATTTGATTTGGCGGGCAGCAGCTGCAGGAGTCGGTACCCGAGCTTGCTGATTCCAGTTTGCCGAGTTTTATGCCCCTAATCCCCCCAACCACCCTACCCCACCACCACACATACACAAACCTCCTTCTTCTGACTGTGACATATTTAGAGTTCATTGAAGGAATACATAACGTTACTGGCAAGGCTGTCTGTGAAAGTAGGGCAAGGAATTCTGACACTACTGAGAGACTGTAGGATGCCTGCCACGATTCAGTGGAATAATTCATCGTAATATCCAAATCTTATTTTAGAGTGCGTCTCCGCTTTGGCTAAGGCTTAACTTATGCATTAAAGTTGTCTCATCAATCAAATTATGTTCCTAAAATCAGTTTATATTTGACTTTTTTTCCTGTTAAGTTTGAAAGGAACGTCTAAACTGAGAGTGTTCGTCCATCCATACTTTTACACTCTTCGCCTTATTTTGAAATTGCCCAGTAACCGACGTGTTTATGACAAAAAAAATGTTGTTTGATGGGTTCAGAGGTTAAGGGTGTCTCTCTAAACAAAACAAAAAAAAAAAGAGACATGCACTCGATCAACAGATGCAAAGCATTTAGGCTTGATGGTGCATAAGCCGTTTGCCAGATGGCTTGGCTGATTAGAGAATGTATCCTTACAATGATGCATGATGATGCTTTTTGAAAATAATGTTCACCAGGTGCTGCTCCCTGAGTGCTGCAGAAGAAAAGTTAAACAAAACCAAGGAGAGAGAGAGATGGGAGGAGGGGAGCTGGAGATATAGAAAGAGGGAGAGGAGGGAGAGATAAATACAGTAAAAAGAAGGAAGAAACGGAG